AAATAAATAAAATCTTAAAAAAAAAAAAAAAATTCCAACGCGTTAGAACTAAGGACTCCTGTCCCCGCAAAGACACCGTACAGTTAAGTGCGAAGATGAGCCACAAACGGGATGGAGACCTGACGGCTCACAGCAGAAAGGGAACAGTGCCGGGTCGACACGTAGCCAGCACTCGGCAGAAGGGGGGCCCTGACTGCTAACAGAGTCACCAACGGCAGAGACGCAGGAGCAGGGCGAGGCTGAGCGGAGGCTTGCGGGGCTGGGACCGCTGCAGAAGCCTGACAGGCGTGCACACACCCACAGCGCGGCTCCCCGACCCCAGGCAGCCACGTGCGGCACCCACACACGGAAGCTGTCACACTGCTGCTGCGCTCGGTCCTCCGCTGCTCCCTCCACCCTCCGTAAGCAGCCCCAGGCCGGGAGCAGCCCCCTCGGCCGTCGGCAGCGAGCAACGGAGAGTGCTGACTCCCTGACTCCGGGAGGAACCCCCCGACACGCGAAGAACCACCCCCGGAGCGTGACCTCGGCATGGCCCCCAAGCCATACCCCCTGACCCCAGAGGGGGCAAAGCCAGCGAGGAGTGTCAGGGGGCCGGCCGCCACTGAGGAGCAGAGGAGGGCCCCGACGCTCCGTAACGGGGTGCTGGTTTCCTCATTCTCCGGACCCCCTACGCTGACCACTCTCTTTCCTGGGCACCTGTTGTCCTGCGAGCCACCTTGTGCTCACTCACGCTCACCTGGATCTGGGTCTGCACCTGCTGGGTCCCAGCCAGTTTCTGGGCCTGGGAGATGGGTGTGGTGAGGAACTGGGTTTTCAGGGCTGGCGGGGCAGCATACGTGACCTTCTGCGCTTGGCCCTGAGCAGCCATCTGCTGGGCGGCGATCTGAAGGAAGAGAGACCGCCCCACGTTAGAGCCAGGCGAGGCTGCGTCCTCTCCTCAGCACGTCAGGGCCTCCCCGCGGGCCCCCGCTGCCCCAACAGCCACAGCACGACCGCCCCACGCCCCGGCCCTGCCTGCCTTCCGCCCAGTCCTGCAGCCGCCCGGCCGGCGTGCCCGGCCTCCTCCGTCCAGAAGTGCCCTCAGAGACCAGGCCGGGCTTTGTCTTTACACCCTCCGTGTGCTCATCACTTGAGTAAACTTGACCACGACAAAAAACACATGCACATACGCTTTCCTGAATCTAATTTGAAGGTCTGGGAACATACTCTAAAATATTGAGCACAGGAGCGCCTGGGTGGCTCAGTCGTTAAGTGTCTGCCTTCGGCTCGGGTCGTGATCCCGGGGTCCTGGGATCGAGCCCCGCGTCGGGCTCCCTGCTCGGCGGGAGGCCTGCTTCTCCCTCTCCCACTCCCCCTGCTTGTGTTCCCTCTCCCGCTACCTCTCTCTGTCAAATAAATAAATTCTTAAAAAAATAATAAAAAAATAAAATATTTAGCACAAGGAATCACAAACCTACATGCACAATCTTTGCCTGATTAATCTCTACGTTTTCTCTGCCAGAACAACGTGAATCCTGCTCAGAAGACCGTGCACACACACAGCCTGTGGTTTACAAAACCAGGACTACACACAAACATTTCTCCAACGTCTCAGAACTTTTCTTTCAAGTCACGTGAACATCAACCAAGACTACAGCCACCTCTCGCTCAGCGGCCAGCCAAGCCTACTCGGTTACCCAGGCCCAACTGCCGGTGCCCTGGTCCTCCCCTCTTCAGTGTCTCCAGCGGGGCCCACGCCCGAGCAGCCGGGCCCAGGGACGGCCGGAGCGGACTGGGGAGGTGACTGAGCGGCGCCCCTCCCGGAACCGTCCAGCAGCGGGCAGCAGGCAGCGCCCGGAGGCAGGTGTTCTCTCTCCCGTCAGAGCAGACAACCTCGCTTCCAGGCCCCGCTCTCCCCGGACGGCAGGAGGAGGCTGTCGAAGGGCACGCACCCGACACGGCGGGCTGCTGCCAGGGCAGCTCTTCCCTGGGGCCCCTCTCACGCCGCTCCACCGACAGCCCGGTGCCCCTGGGAGATGCCCAGCCGGTGTGGCCCCTCCCTGCTGCCGTGCCCCCCTAGCTTGTCACCTCGCCCACGGCTGCCAAGGACTGCTCGACTTCCGACTCTGCTCTGCCGTCCCCACAAACCACAGCGGCACCTGGACGGGCAGCATCTCAGCCCCGACCAGATCGGAGCTGGGCTCCTGCCGGTGGGAGGAGCGATGCTCCGGGAAGAGCTGCCCAGCGGAGGACCAGGACTCTGCAGGGCCCCGCACCCGGTGATCAGCTCCGCGACTCCGGGCAAGTCGCTTCCTTTCTCTGAGCCTCAGTTTCCTCCAAGTAACGCGCGGCCCTGCTCCGAACGCTGCCTCCAGCTGCCCCGCCCTCGGCCCGTGTATGCTAGCTCCAGCTCAGAAAGCAGCAGGGACAATGGCCAGGGCAAGCAGCAGCACATCACCATCCGCACCCTGGGCTGCACGCTACCAGGAAGCACGCGGAGCAGGTCGGGGCGGTGCCTGCATGGGGCATGGCTTCCACACGCCGGCCTCCGGACGGCTCAGCCCCGGCACCCGCGTCAGCTCAGAGCCGACTCTCAAACGTCTGAGTCCGTGAGACGCCGACAGGACTCCTTCGCATCGGGCCCCCCCCCCCCACAAGCACACACAGGGGCAAGGACGCGGTCCCCGCCTGGCTCCTGGCCAGGTCCCAGCCCCTCTGCACACGAGAAGCCCAGGCAGTCACGCACGGTGAGCCACACCTGCGCCCTGGGCCCCTCCGGCCCCTTCCCAGCCATGCGATTCCACGGCCGGCTTCACGGTTCCCCATGGGCTCCCGTCATCACCTTCTCCCTGCAGGGCCTCATCGCAGCTCCCACCCTGAGACCTCTGAGCACAGGGCCTTCTGTGTGCGTGGCTGCCGGGCAGCGAGGCAAGGTCCACGCGGGGCACTCCTGCTGTCCGTGCGATCCGCGCCCAGCGTCAAGACAGGATGACGGGAGAGCCCCCCCGCAGGAACCCGGTACCTTCTGCTGGACGGCCGCTGGGCCCGGGGCAGCCTGTGGCTGGATGGCCTTCTGCTGCTGCACAGCTTGCTGCTTGAGCTTCAGCAGCTGCTGGACGTGCACGGGCTGGGCCACGACGGTCTGTCCTGTGAACAGCCACCGAGGCCTCAGTCACAGTGCTCAGTGGGCACAAGGGTCTCACAACCTCCCTGAAGCTCCCTCCAACTCCCCGAGCCACCGAGTTGTCCCCACTGACCGCTTTCCGTACAGAACACCCCACGCTGAACTAGGCCGACACAGAACAGCCGCCCCGCAGCTATACTTAAAACGTTTGTGGGCCCGCAACGACATCCAAATAAAGGTGCGAAGTTCCGAACAGCAACGGGTTAGGTCAAGGGCTGAAACTCGTACGTGGGCGCCTCTGAGAGGCACGCTGGCCAGACGGTGCCCTGACACACTCGAAATGCGTGTCCGCACAGAAGCCAGCACAAGACCCGTCAGCCCCGCTCGAGGCCCTTGGCGGGACAAGGGCTGGAGGGGAGGCGCTGCCCGTGAGGTACCTGCGGCTTTCTGCGGCTGCCCGATGGCCACGCTGATCCCGGCGACATTCATGGGCAGGGTCGTCACACCTGGCGAGGAGACCACGGCCGCGGGCACAGACACGACGGGAGGCTTTGCCAGCGCCACCTGAGCGGGCTGGGGCGCCTGAGCCTGCATCTGCCCTTGCGCCTGCAGCTGCGAAGGGGGAACCCGGGTCTAAACAGTGAAAATAATGGGAGAGTCCAGAGATATTCGGGATACCATGTGTCTTCGCAAGTTATTTCCCCACAAGAGGTCAAGCGATGAGAAATTTACAGATCCACAAAGGTGACAAGTGGCTGTCAGCTGAAGGGACACATTTCACTGAGGGCCGCAGCTCTACGCTTCCTACCCCATCACCGACCGATGCAGGGAAGGGGGTTCAGCAGGACCCACAGCTGCTCGCTCACTGTGACGTTCAGGCCCTGCCACGTGGCCCTGGTCTCTGCCGCTCCTCCTTCCGGCTCCTGAACTCGGGGGAGCCCCATCCTGCCCCGACTCCTGTAGACCCTCGTCTCCCACTCCTGCGGCTACGACTGAAGGTCGGCCCACCACCCCACCCTCTCCCGGAGAGCCCGCCTGCGGACACGCCTCCTGCTACTCGGTCTCCACGTTGCCACCAAGCGCTCGTTTCCTCAAGTTACATCTTCAGAAAGGACCACAGATCCGTCTTACCTGTACAAGCACTCAGACTACCTGAGAAAACATAAAGAAGTAAAAAGCACCCCTGGCCCTAAAACTGCCCACATCTGAACGTGAAAGCCAGTATTCGGCCCGTCAGACGCCGTTCTTACCTGCGTGGCTTGCTGTGGAATGTGCAAAATGGGCCAGCTTACAAATACCTCGTAGTCTGTCTCTCTGCCTCTTACGGCAAATCCTTTCCATAGTCGCGTGCTACCCCAGCGTGGGGACGCTCGCCGCTGTCAGAAAACTCCCCAGTTAATGGGGACCTGTCTCCTCTAACACGACTCAAACAGCAAGACTGCGCGTCCGGCACGCTGTGCTCACTCCGCTACCACTTTCCGCGAGAAGAGAAACAGGGCCACTAGCTAAAACGGTGAGCACACTCCGTAGCTCGGGGACGAGAAGCCCTCCCAGAGCGGACGCCGACCCATCTGGCCAGTCACGGCCGGCACGCGGGGTCACCGCCCTTCTCCTCTGGATTTGCACTTCTTGTGAACACAGGCGAGACCACGTGTGCTTTCCCAGTTTTAGTCCACGTCTACCCCACTTCTCGCAGACGTAAGGTCAGGGCGAGGCACGCGGGAAGCGGGGCCTGAGCGCCGTGTGAGTTGTGGGTGACGAGCTATCGGACTTGGGTTAAGTTACTTCCTGAAGCTGAGGGCCTCAGTTTCTCACCTGCACAGAGGAGTTCACGTTAAAACACCCACCCTGGCCTCGGCAGCGGTCTGTGGGCACTGACCACGTGAGAGGTACAGAGCCGAGGGTGGTGCCTGGCCCAGGATGGGTGCTCCCCCAGCAGGGCAGTGGCTTGCCTGATGGGACAGTATCCGTCCCACAGGACATTCGACGGATGTTTGTTGAATTTAACTGACCTTCCCAGACACTATTTTCACCGTGACATTCTGCTCCTCTCCAGAAACCTCCAGAGTCTGTGCCGACAAAGCCCAGGGACACCAGAGCCCGGTGTTCCGGCCTCGCCCACCTCCCCACACGGGTCTCAATCCCCCGTAACCTCGGCTCCAACCACAAGGGCCTCGTCCCCAACAGAAACCTCGCCCTCCCTGCGTAGCCCAGCGTGCCCCCCGCCTCCTCCAGCCGCCCAGCCTGCCGTGAGCTCTGTGATGCTCAGGTCCTGGGAAGCAGGACGACTTAAGTGCCTCCACGGGCCGTATTTCATCCTCTCCGAGGACAACTTAAGCTCTTGGGGGAAGCGCACGTCTTCTACTTTACTCGTAGGTCCTGCACACCTGACGTGGTCCTCAGCAAGCAGTAACAGTGCAATTAAATGTTACAAGACAAAGCTTTGGAAAAACAAACGTATCAACTGGAACTTACGAGCCGGGCCACCTGGAGGTTGGCCACGGTGGTGCCCGTGAGCAGGGCTCCGGGCCGCGGGGCCGTGACCGTGGCCAGCTGGGGGCTCTGCTGCGGCGTGGGTGGCGGGGCCTGCACTTGCACTTGTGTAGCGGGCTGTGGGGGCCCTGGCGGGGCCTGCGGTGGGGGGGCCTGCTGGGGCAGCTGCAGTTTCTGCTTCTGCATTTTGATCAGATGTTCCTAAAACCCAGATAAAGTAGCTTTTCATCAATATTAACTGCATTCCATTTGTTACAAAGCTCGGTTTTAAGTTACTGTTGTACTATCCATTAAACACCAAGGCAGACAGCGGCTAACACACAGTATGCAAACCATCCTCCGGGGGCTGACGTTTTTTAAATGTCCCTTTGTTAACAACTCGCGTATCACTGATGATAACCAGAAACGGTGACTCTGACAGAGGAGTAAATTCATAGCAAAATCTCTCGGTTTTTCTCACTCGCAAATACGTCAACTTAAACCCGTAGTACTATGAAATTTTTATAAAGTCTTAAAATCATGGTCCTTCTTGAACTTTTAAACTTGTAAGATGTGTATCACCTCTCAACTTTTTATCCGAATTGTTTGCAAATGAATAAATTGACAAATAAATCCCAAGTCTTTAAAAGAAGTGAAAACATCAAGATGTCCAAACAGCCCCAAAAATATTTTCAGAAATCAATTTTCTTTTCAGAAAAGTTCTAGTGTGTAGTTCGTAACTATCTGAAATGGACTCAGGACGGGGCAGAGTGGAGAATCCAGACACAGGCAAACGAGCAGGTAAGCGGGGCTCTGGCAGCCGAAGGAGGGAGTGCAGGGGTACAGGAGGGCCCTCGTGTCCTGGGGAGAAGCAGGAAGGGGAGAAGGAAAGGCCGCGGGGGTGGAGGGGCAGGCGTGGGGGGTGCTGGGCCCAGCAACCTTCTGATTTAGCGCCGCCCCCAGCCTCCCGCGGTGGCGGGCACGTTCTAGATCTGGGCCGTCCAATATGCCGGCCACGGCCACGCGCACCCACTCACCCCCGCAACGGGGCGGGCGCGACCGAGGAGCTCAGTGGCGCACGTCCTGGGCCGTGCTGGCGAAGCTGGGGCTCAGGGCTTGCGCGTGCTCCACAGCCCTCCAGCACGCCCGCCTGTCCCTCCGTAGCGGGAAGGGGCAGGCCCGAGGTCAGGTACTTACTGTGGCAGGCCTGGCAACTAGCTGCAGCTCTAAGACACTGTCTTGTTTCTAGCACTTGTCTCTCCATGCCAAGCAAGAGCACGTCTCCGTCTTGGCAGGAATACAGCGCTGCCTTTCAAAACGAATGCATTCACACACGCAGCTGCACGGCCGGTGCACCGGGTGGCGCGAGTCAGGGTTGTCAGTACTCAACCCCACGAAGGAGCTAGGCGTGAAGAAACCAAGTACCCAGCACCGCGTCTCTGGGACCGCCCGCAGCACTTCCCGCCGGCACGTTCTCCGGCTGGGAACGGACCCGAGCGGAGCCTGAGCTGTACTGCACAGGGCACCAGACAGCAAGCGGAAGACGGGCTGGCCACGCGGCCACGGACGTGCCACGGTGCGGAACGCTGTGTGTAGGGGCAGCACGAGCAGCAGACCTGTGCTTCCAAGTGAGTGACACGGGGGCCTCGCGCAGCGGGTGGGCGGTTTCCTACGACCTACTCACCGGGGTCAGCTTGCCGACAGCCTTGATCTGTGCCGGCGACGGGGCCTGGCCCTGGATCTGCGGAACCTGCACCTGAGAGGGCGGCGGCGGCGGAGGCGGCGGCTGCTGCCGGAGCAGCTGGAAGTGTGCGGGCGTGATGGCCTTCCCGGGCAGCTGCACCCCTGTGGCTGGGAGAGGGGGCGCCGTCACGCTGCGCACGCACATGGCCCGCCCGTCCTCCCACGGCAGACACCCGGAGACACCACCTGCCTTTACCTTGGGACACCTGAGTCACCAAAGACCGGGTCGGAGTCTGCACTGGGGTCAGGCTGGTAGTGACCACGGCTGAGGCTGTCACGGAGGTAACCGCGCGAACGCCCTGGGTCGGTGCCAGGGACACGAGGTCGGACGTGGCCGTGGCCGGCGAGCCGACCGCGCGAGGCTGGGTGTGGACCACCTGGGCAGGAGCAGAGCCTCCAGAGGTCTGCAAGAGGCAACGGGGGAAGTCGTCAGGTTACTCCGCGCCATCCTTCAAGGCTTCCACACGCTGGTACCAGCTAAGAGGACACGCGTCTCTGAACCCGAGGAACGGAAGAGCTTCAGAGTGGGTCAGTCACCACAGAAGAAAACCGTTTCAGACGGCAATGCTCCCATTCCCGTTCTGAAACGCTGCCCTGCCTCCCTGTCCTCACGAGAGAGGCGGTCTGGGCCCCAGGAACGCCGTGAGGTTCTGACTATACTGCAGACCCCTGTGCTTGCCCCCCAAACACACAGCGTAGGCTCCCACTCTCGGCCACCCCTTCTCCCGCCTGCACAGGTCTCGTGGCGTCTCAGAGCAGCCCCGCTGCCCCCTACGCCGACCCTCGAGCTACAGCCAGCCGCGCAGTCCCACTCCAACCGTGGACCCCACCGGTTCCACCTCCGAGACGGCTGGTGTGCATGCCACCTGCCTTGGCTGGCCCCTCCGTGCGGGCGGCCAGGACGTTCTTCCAGACTGTGTGGTTGGTTCACCCCCAGCCTTTCTGCGCGTCCCTACTCCCGCGGTCAACTAACTCCCGCATCGCACTCTGTGCTTCCCATTCAACCCTCTGGCTCCACGCATCTTCAATCGCCTTCCTTGCTTTCACTCACAGCATTTTTTTTCTCACCTCACTTTTCCCTCCCAAAGTTTGTAAGTTACGCTCTTTTTACACTTTTCATGGCTCATCTAAAAATTATACCATGAGAGGCGCCTGGGTGGCTCAGTCGTTAAGTGTCTGCCTTCGGTTCAGGTCATGATCCCGGGGTCCTGGGATCAAGCCCCACGTTGGGCTCCCTGCTCAGCTTCTCCCTCTACCTCTCCCCCTGCTCGTGCGCACGCGTGTGCTTTCTCAAATAAATGATTTAAAAAACATTATGCCATGAGTACTTGTCAAAGCCTCGCACTTTTCCTGAACAAGAGTGCGGAGCGTCTCCGCTTCGTGGCCCTTGGCGGGCTTACACGCCCGACCCGTGCGGCGCATTCCTGCTGTCGGTCCCGCAGGGAGCCCCTCGCGGCTGCTGTGAGGTCAGTCTCCGCGTCGACCGTCCGCCGTCACTGCCTCTGTGCACACTTCTCAGACCTTCTGCCTCAAGCGTGTCCTTTCGCACGGCCCACCTGCCGCCAGCCCGCCCCACGTTTGCTTCGAAGTGTTCTTTTGTACCCGCGTACCTGCGTTCTTCAAGCTGTTTCCGAAAGAGGCGGAGCAGGGTCAGCAGTGATTTGCTTTCATTCAGCACAGATGCCGTTCCAGAGGCTCCCGGCTTCACCGGCCCCGAGAAGGAAGCTGCCGTGCCCCCCGCTGCTCTCGGACCTCTGCTGTTGGCACTGTCCGGGATTGGGCTCAGTGGGGACTGCTGCATACACAGCTCGGTGTCACTGCTCAGTTCTGGAAAACTCCCATCTTCCAACGCTGCCTTTGCCCGCCCTCCTCCCCATCTGGACTCAGTGACCGCACACTCCATCGTCCCAGTCGGCCCTCCGCGACCTCACAGCGCTCTTCCGTGCGGCCCCTGCTGTCGCCCTGCGCTGCATTCGGGAAAACGTGCCCTGACTTCTCTTCCGGTTCACCAATTCTCTCCTCAACGGACAGCCCAGTACCAGGGATGTTTTCCAATTCTGATAACCAGTTTTCATTTTCACAAGTTCTCTACGGTCGACCCTTGAACCATGTGGGGGTTACAGGCGCCAAAGCCCCGCACAGTTGGAAATCCAAGTACAAGTTTCTTGACCAGAATTTAACCGCTAACAGCCGACTGCTGGCCGGAGAGCCTGACAGCACAGTCGACGAAAACATACTTTGTATGTTGTGTGTGTCAGAGGCTTCATCCTTACAGTAAGTTCAGCCAGACAAAAAAAAAGTTAGGAAGACCATAAGGGGGGCACCTGGCACTCAAGTCAGAGGATCGTGCGGCTCCTGGCCTCGGGGTCGTGAGTTCGAGCCCTACGCTGGGCTCCACGCTGGCACGGAGACTTCTTAAAAATAAACAAAATAGGAAGCACAGCTGCTTTACGGTCCGTGCCCATGAACTCCACTATCTCAAGTGGAGGCAGGCTGGTGTCACGCTTTCCTCCTGTGTTTGGCTGTTTTCTGCTCTGTGCCGCTCACTACGCTGGAAAACCACTCGTGGTGTTCTGAGGAGTCCAGGTCGAAGGCGAGCTCCTCCAGAGCACCTGCACCTGCTTCTGGCCGCCCACCCGGGAACACCGCCCACTCGAGGCCACGCCTGCTCCAGCTGTGAACTGACAGAAGGCCGACGTGTGGCTACAGCTTTGCAGGGGGAGTCCGTCCCCTCTGCTCAGCGCCAGGGTGGAGGGCAGGCGGGTTTCCCTTCTGCTTCAGCCCTGCCCCAAGGGCTCAGCTGCGGGGCTCCCAGCTCGAGCCAGAGTCTCCAGCCAGATGAGGTAAAAGGTGCTCCAGGGCAGGCCCCGCCTCAGTGCACCGTTTTTCTCTCTGGGTTTCTTCCCTTAGATTTTGCCCTAATCCTTATGTATTCTTTTGTGTCAGCTCCTTAAAACTTTTAAGAAGATTAAAAATTTTTTTATCCAATAATTTTAGTCGGTTTCATTAAGAAAGTAGTATAACTCACCTCACCATCAGAAACAGAAATCTGTTCCTGGACTTCCAAAATGGTTTTCACTCTGCCCTCTTCTGCTTGAATCCGCTCAGAGACTATCAAGGGCTCCCAGCTGCCTAGCAAACAAAATCCATCCTCTTTAGCTGCATACCCAAACTCTACAACCAGCTAGCCTCGGCATCTCCCGAAGCTGAGCACACACAGCCGCGCAGAGCCTCCCGGCGGGTGCAGGAACCACCGCTACTTTGCTAACACGCTTGTCTGTGCCTCTCTAAACAGACCTGCTCGCTGTGCCTCGGACAGCCCACACCCTTCCCCGCGCCAAAGAGCCTTGTGTGGATGACGTCGTCCTGTCCTGCGGAAGCCCAGAAAGCCCGCCCTGTACTGGACCTCTCCTCTCCCGGTCCAGCCCCGGGTCTACAAGAGCCCTGCGGAAGCCGGCTGAGTGTCTGAGTCCAGTTTCTAGGCCCACATCACCAGCTAGAGTATCTTGTCTCTAAGAGCTACTCAAAAGATACATCATGGATGAGTTACTTTATCTTCCAAAAATATCATACACAGAAATAGGTCTTCTTCAAAATAAAACATCACGTGCAATGATCTGGGCATTTCACTCCCACCCAAGGAATGGTGTCGGTCACAGAGAACGTTTGTAATGTCACAGGCCTACCTAAGAGCTGCTGTTATTAAATGGCTGAATCAAAAGTGGTTTATTGCAAAGTACAAAGAAAAATAATCCTAAATCACACACTAGAAAAACTTCTCCTATACGCTACATTACCTAGGAATATTCTAATTTTTAAAGCGAGATTTATTAAAGTATAATTTACATACAGTACAATTCACCCACTTCAGGTATATGGACCTATGAATGTTCACAAACGCAGATGGCCAAGGTAGACACCACGATCCAGATACAGAACATACTCCGTTTCCTGTCCTCATGATCTTGCCTTTTCCACATTAAACAGAATCATGCAGCATACGAGGCCTTCTGAAACTCTCATCACAGCCAAGTGTGTTTGAGAGTCGCCCACCCTATTGCTCAGCCCAGCAGCTCAGTCCCTCGTACAGCTGGGTAGTCCTAGATGGTGTCCACGTGGCCACGGAAGGCCCTCTGGGCTGTTTCCTTTCTTAGTAATTATAAATAAAGCCACCAGGCACACTCACGTTGTTTCCTTGTGCAGAGGTATGTTTTTGTTTCCCTTGGGGGGAAGCCCAGGCGTGGAAGTGCTAGGCTGTCCAGTAAGTGTACATTTATCATAAGTGGCCGACTTCCCACGTGACTAAGATTTTTCGAGCCGTCCCCAGCCATGCTGCCTCCTTGCCGGCGTCTGCCACGGCCACGTTTCTGTTCCTAAAGCCGCTCCCAGAGATACGTGGTGGCTTCTCACTGTGGGTCTTTTGTCTGTTTTTTTTCAGTGGCGGCAGGGGCAGAGGGAGAGAATCTGAAGCAGGCACCACGCCCAGTGTGGAGCCTGATCCCACGACCCTGAGATCACAACCTGAGCCAAAACCAAGAGTCGGACACGCAAGTGACTGAGCCCCCAGGAGCCCCATCTCACTGTGGTTTTCACGGGGTTCCCCTGATGACTAATAATGTCGAACATCTTTTCACATTTGTCATTCCTATTGCTTCTTTGGTGAAGTAACTGCGCAAATCTTTTGTCCATGTTTTATAACGTTTTCTTATTATTGAAGAATCCTCAATGAATCGGCAAACTGGGCCTTTGTCACATGTATCCTACAAACATGTTCCATGCTTTCCATTTTCTTCCTATTTTTCAAACAGCAGATGTCGTTGATTTTGATGAAGACTAACCTACCAATTTTTCTTTCATGATTCAAGGGCTTTGGGATCCTAGAAAATCTCTGCCTGAACCAAGGAAGCAAAGACGTTCTACTGCGATTTTCTTCTAAAAGTCTTGTAGTTCTGGGTTTTACACTTAGGTCTACGATCCACCTTGAGGAACTCTTCATGCCCAGTGCCGGTTACAGACCACGGTTCCCAGTCCCGCGTGTGGCGACGTCATCCTTCCAGCACTGCTTGTTGGAAAACAATCCTTTCTCCTGGCACTCCTTCAGCACTCTTAACGAAAGTCAGCTAACTACGTACCCGGGGGTTTACTGCTGGACCCCGTATCCTATTCCATGAAGCTGTGCCCGTCCTCTTGCCGATGCCACCCTGTCTCGATTACTACAACACCACCTTTGTAGAAAACACACTTTCCAGAGCCCAGCAGGGAGGGACACAGGGCACGTGTTGCCTTCAGATACGTAACTAAACTGAAAAAGGAGACGTATGTTTCATCTCCTTAACCTCAGCTGTTTATTTTTGTCATTTATGGGGAACACCAAAGACAAGGAGGTGGCTGGACATGGGGTGCGCCTCTCAGTGAGTGCCAAGGCCTGCTCTGGTTCTGCGCTCAGAGGGTCGGATGGCTCTGCCCAGGCTGGGCACCTCCCTGCTTCCTGCACACGGGTCTGGACGCGCCTCACCCGGCCCCCGCGCGCTCTGGCGATGCACGCAACAGCATCCCGGCCCCTGTGGACGCCATGCCACCCCCCATGCGGTGCCCCCCCAAGGGCGCCCATCTCTGCATCCCCACGTCCCCCACAAGCAAACCTGTCATGCGGCATGTACAGCACCCGGCCACGCAGCCCGCGACGCCCCTCACACCCTGCCTTCCTCCTCCGAGAACCGCCGTGGGCAGGGGTCTCAACACACACACCCCCACGAGCGCACCGTGCTCCTGAACGTGCACGTTGTCTCAGGAAAGTCGACCTGTACTCTCGGCACTGCTGGCCTATCTCTTCACAACGCAAACAACTTTCAAGGCGCCCGCGAGGCTCGGTCGGGGGAGCACACGACTCTTGATCTTAGGATCACGAGTTCAAGCCCCACACTGGGTGTCAAGGCGAAACAAAGTAAAAACGAAACCAAACAAAAACCCTAACACCAGACAAACGACTCTCACAGGGCCCTAGGCCACAGGAGCCGGGACAACTCACGGTCAAGGCTCCCGGCGCCACGGGCGAAGCAAGGCGCTTGTTGATGGACTGGAAGGTGGCGGCAGGGACCCCTGCGATGGTGTTCACAATGACGTTCCCGCTCACTGTGCCTACAGGGAGAGAACTGTGAGGCAGGAGCCCGGGGGAAGCATGGCTCCTGACAGGGGGCATCTCGGGCTTCTTACCCGTCGGCATGCTCGTCCCCGGGACGGACGTTTTCATGGCTCCGGCCTGCTGAACACAGAACGCCGTGTGAACTGGAGCGCAGGCTCTCCCCTTCACAAAACCTCCAAGTGTCCCCACTTCATCAGAATCACATTCACACTCACGCCTGGCGACACGGCCACACAGACCGACCCCCACCGACCCCCGCCCCCACACCCCGCACGGGCTCTCCTGACCCCCCCACCGCCAGGCTTGGGGCCTCTGTGCTCGCTGTGGCCTGCTCTCTGCCCATGGACTCCCGTCACTCAGGCTGCCGCCCGGGGCGATGGGCCTCCACGCAGAATCCCTCCCTGGCCATCCACCACGGTGCCCTTGGGGCCACAGAAGCAGGGGCTGAGGGAGCGGCTTTCTGACCGCAGAGCCAGGCTGCCCAGGCCCCACGGCCATCCCGCTGCGGCAGACGGAACCGCAAGCGAGGACGGACCATGCCCCCGGCCGGCTGGCAGCGGGCTTCCCCTTGCAGGCCCCAGGCGTCCTCCCCACGGGGACTCTGAGGTCCGTGTCACACGGACACGGGCGCACGCAGCAGAGGCCACGTGACGTCACGAGTCTGCCTTTCTGCCCCTTTCCTGTGCGCTCGGTTTACCGCCTTCTCCAACAGGCACCGAAGATCCATGCACACGCGTGTGCAAGAGCATGCATGCACCAGCTGTGAGGGAAGCTCGCACACTGGTGCAGACGGTACTCGCTCTGCAGGGTGACTTGACAACGACACCCCACAAACCCCACGGAGCTCCGAACTCCCCGGGCACCTCCACTGCCCAAACTGCCACTAACCGACCCAGGCGGCAAGAGCCCGGAGCGGGCAGAGCGTGGTGAGGCGCCCTCCCGCCCGGGAGAGGCAGGGCCCGTCGCCACTGCCGCTGCGGAAGACGTGCTGCGTCTGAACAGACCGCCCTGCCCCGTGTGCCCACAGGCGCCCGCGCCAGGGAGGGACGCCTTCTCACCAGCACGGCGGCGCTGCCCACCGTCGTGATCGCCGGGGGCACCTTCGGCGGGGGCG